TACAACTGAACTGATTCTAGACAGGGCCAGTACAAAAGCAGTACAAAACCAAATCGCACCTTTCGAAGCTCCCGAAGCAGATGCTTGACCTTTGATTTTGTCGGTTGTTTCTTTTCGCGATCGGATCGGGTTCTTCTTTGGATCCCCTCGACCCAACGGCTTCCGACGGCTTCCGCTTCGAGTCGAGTCGTTCGATTCGACGTTGCCTTGGCGGCCACCTCCGGCTTCCTGGCGCAAGCGGACATCGTTTCGTTTGGGCCACTGGTCGAAGGGTTTCCAGCAACTTGCGCCTGGGTTGCTTTGTCAGCTTTTATTCGCCATCCGCGAGTTTCTAGGGGCTGATTCCAATGTAAAGCCAAATGTACCCTCATCCCAAGCTCCAATATCCAAGCCCCATAAAGATGAACATGGGTAATTCTAGGGGCTGACTCCTTTTCCATTCTTTTCAACCATCGTTCTTTCCAAAAATCGGATCCATTTCCCTTGGGTTTCCGGAGGTTTTCTACAAAGGTGACCTAGAACTTGGGTCTGTCTCTTTGTTTGCGGGGAACCCCCCTTCTTTTGGTTGGCTTACCAACAGGCGACCAACCATGTTGGGGTTGCTTTTTTTCAAGACATTGTGACATAGCCATGCCCTAAAATGGAAACGGCTTCCTGTTGGCTTCCCTGCCGAAACCCATCTTTCCCCACCACGTGAAGCCGACCTCTCAAATGGCCAAGGGTTCCCTGCGCTTTCCCGCTGACCTCCCAACCAGAGGGCTCGCATTACCGTATCAGCCACAGCCCAAAACTGGCGACCGCTCAAGCTAGACCTTCGAGGCTTGGGGCAGCCACATGGCTGAAGGTCAAAACCGTTTTGGGATCCCATTTTGGTTGGTAGGTGAATTCAGAATTCACCACCCATTTTAGAACCTATTTTAGTGGGGATTGAATCGGATGTTCACTGGGGGTACGATTTGGATTTTGACCCATGGCCACATGTTCAAGCACATGTCTGCCAAATTATCTGGCCGATTCGCCATTTGGTGGTTTCCCACGGGCCCTCCACTTTTTCAAAGGAAGAAAACCCCCGATGGAGCTCGAACCAGCGTAGCAAACCTTCGTCCAAGCTAGACATTTGGTTCCTGCTACCCTCCCACCAACTAACATGGAAGTGCAGGAGGAAAGTCGTCTTTCTACGGGGGTCTGTGCACAAACCCATTTTAGCCGGTGATTTCAGCAATCCCCCTTTAACGGCGGCAACAGCGGCACCGGCACCGGTGCCGCTCAACTCCCGCCTCGGTGGCGCCTTCGCGAGCGTCTTCGCCCGCGGCAAGGGCGGGAAGGCCTCTAGGCTGGCCTCCGCCGAACCAAGCGGCTGAACCCGGGTTGGAGCCCAGGTGAGTCATACTCAAAACCTGCGATTTTCTGGGGCAAAAAATCTGGCTGGGATTGTCCCTTACCCTCCAATTACCCGGGTTTTGAGCAAGTGGCTAAATTTGAGAGCCCGCTTCAATGTTTGATGGGCACGCCTTAAAAAAATTAGATGCGAACCTCGGCCGTCTCTCGGCTCCCTCAGGTTCAGGCCATGTCCAGGGCTTCAGTGCAACAACATGGCGGCCAGCGAAGCGAACGGCCCCAAAAGCGCGCGAGATGTGTCTGCGCAACTCGGCACGTTTTGTTTTGTTGGGGGTTTCTCACGCGCTTGGAGCACGGAAAAGAAGACTGAACACCAAGCTACTTCATTCGCTGATTCGATCGAAATCTGTGGAGGGTGAAGCAATTCCGGTCATGTCGCTATCCCTGACTGGTCGTGCCCCCTTCTGACTGCGGCGGCGGGGCGGCTGGTCACAGAGCTTGGAAGCAGAAAAGTATGAACATTTGAAGCACGTGCTGCCGCCTGATCAGCGTGCAAGGCGTGGTGCAAAAACAAGCACGAACACACACAGACACCCGCGCACACACACACACACACACATCACATACAAGGTGGTGTTCTTTTTCCGTAGGTTGGGCACGGCCTTGATTTTTCTTCTTTCCCCGACCCAGAAAAGCGGCAAATGGTTCGCTTTTTCAAACAAGCCATTGCTTAGGGTGGGTGTGTGCCGGGCTTGGGTTTCTTTAGGATGGTTTTTCCGTATTTTAGATTGGCGTTTAGGGTTGGTTTAGTGCTGAGGGTCGGGTTTAGATGGGTTTGTGGTGGGTTTAGTGTTGGCTTCGGGTGGGTCAGGGTAGCTTTAGGCTGGTTTAGGCATGATGTAGTGCTGGTGTTTGGTTGGGCTTAAGGCTGGCTAAGGGTTGGTTTAGGGCGGGTTTAGGGTTGGTTTAAGGCCGGTTTCGGGTGGATTTCAGGTTGGTTTAGAATTGGCTTCGGGTAGGTTTAAAGGATTGCTTCGTGCGCGGTTTTCCGGTGGGTTTAGGGCTGGTTTAGGGTGGGTTTAGGGTGGCTTAGGGTGGGTTTAGGGTGGGTTTAGGGTGGGTTTAGGGGGAATCGGGTGGGTTTAGGGTTGCTGTTTTGGGTGGGTTTCGGGCAGGTTTAGGGATGCTTTGGTTTCATGGTATGTTTATTTGAGGTATCGGTGGAGGAGTATGGATTTCAGTGGATCTTGAGGATCCCGCCATTCGATGGCTGGCTCGTTGTGCCAGAGGATTTCTGGACACAATTACTCCTTGCTCCGTGGCGGAGCAGATTCGCATGCCAAACAAATGGCAACCTTTACCATTCTCCTTTGAACCGGAGGTCGTGACTTGTTTGGGCCATAGTTATTTGATCAGGCGGATAGGTGTTCAGAGTTCTCAACTTCGGACTTGAGGCAAACTCAAAACGCACGCGGCCGCCTAGAACATGTTCTGTTGTGGTAAAAGCCTAGCAAAAACACTCAGGGCCCCACATACAAATACATACACAACCACCAAAAAACAGAGACATACACATACACTTGCTACACATACCAGCAAACAAACAAACAAACAAACAAACAAACAAACAAACAAACAAACAAACAAACAAACAAACAAACAACGCTCAGACGTCCTGTAAACGCGCGTTTTTGTTTCGTTCTTTCCCCCCTGTAATGGCCGAAAAAACGCGCAAATCATATGGTTTTTCACAGGTTTCGAGCAAGTCCAGCAAAGGGTGGGCCGGATGTCCGAGTGGAACTGCAAGAGCACGGCCTATCCTTAGGTGACTCCAAATCAAAACCTGTTATTTAAATGGTCGCACTCCCAGAACCGTGGCCGGCATGGATGCAGTGCTGCGCGGGTGCACCTGAACGGGTGTTCTTACCATTCGGCGGGCATGGATGCAGTGCTGCGCGGGTGCACTTGAACGGGTGTTCTTACCATTTGGCTGGCATGGATGCAGTGCTGCGCGGGTGCACTTGAACGGGTGTTCTTACCATTTGGCTGGCATGGATGCAGTGCTGCGCGGGTGCACTTGAACGGGTGTTCTTACCATTTGGCTGGCATGGATTCCGTGCTGCGCGGGTGCACTTGAACGGGTGTTCTTACCATTTGGCTGGCATGGATGCAGTGCTGCGCGGGTGCACTTGAACGGGTGTTCTTACCATTTGGCTGGCATGGATGCAGTGCTGCGCGGGTGCACTTGAACGGGTGTTCTTACCATTTGGCTGGCATGGATGCAGTGCTGCGCGGGTGCACTTGAACGGGTGTTCTTACCATTTGGCTGGCATGGATGCAGTGCTGCGCGGGTGCACTTGAACGGGTGTTCTTACCATTTGGCTGGCATGGATTCCGTGCTGCGCGGGTGCACTTGAACGGGTGTTCTTACCATTTGGCTGGCATGGATGCAGTGCTGCGCGGGTGCACTTGAGCGGGCGTGCCTATCGTGAGTGTGAATTTCCATATAATTCCCGCGTTTTACGTGGTAGTGGCCGGACATGCACGAAACCTGTGAAAAACCATATGATTTGCGTGTTTTTGCGGCCATTACAGGGGGGAAAGAACCAAAAAAAGCGCGCGTTTACAGGACGACCGAGCCACAAACAAACAAACAAACAAATCAATACAACTCAAGCACACAAACATCCAAACAAACCAAAACAAAACAAACCAACCAAACCAAACCAAACCAAACCAAACCAAACCAAACCAAGCCAACCCAACAAACAAAAAAACAAGTAAAACAAATCAATCAGAACAATCAGAACAAACAACTACACACATACAAGAAGCACACAACTCGAACAAACAATCAAAGAAACAAAACAAATAAAAACCAAACCAAATCAAACCAAACCAGACCAAAACGAAACGAAAGAGACAAACAAACACACTGGCACGCACACGCGCACACACACACACACCAGCAGCAGCCCTTTGGCCCTAACCCATTTTGCAGATTTCTGCCCCAAAAGATTCCACCAAGCGAGACACGCCGCCCTGCCACCTCTCCTCACAAGATCTTCTGCGATGGCCCCGCTAGCTTACAAGTTCGTCTCTTCCACGAGCTGTTCATGGAGAAGGGTGGACCAATCCTAATCCACAATCCAAGGGATGAAAACGGATTGGAAAATGGAGGAAAATCCATTCACTAATCCACAAGTGATCGATTTAACAAAAAAGCAACGCACTTCGACTGTGAAGGCAGAACATGACATCCAAGAGCAACCCGCAGGCTTTGACAAGCCCCCCCCCCCACCCCCCATGAGCAAGTGCGGACAAGGGGGGAAAGAGGGCTCTCGACCGCCTGGAAGGCAACTCCAGTGCTCTACACTGACAAGTTGAAAGGAGTTGGTCGGGATCTCAAGGCCTTAGAAGATACCCTACTGGCACAGGTCTTGTGTGTGGTCCGCACCCAGCTTTGCATGTCCAAGCCGAGCGGAACATGGCCAGGAATCACCTCAAATCTACTTGGCACAGCGATGGGGCGAGTCGGAGAGTCGGCTTTGTGACTTCAGCTTCAGCTCCGCAGCTGCTCCTGCACCCGGACTGCTGGCCATGTTTAGCACCAGCGGTCCACTTTTTTCTGTCACCATCGGCCTCCGGCAAAATCTCCTCCCTCACAAACGTCGGCCGCGGCGGCCGCACTTGCGCCGAGTGCAGTCAGTCGGGATGGGCGTCACGTCCTGCGAGCAAGCGATGCTTCCGCAAAAGCGACATGACATGTGGGTGTGGCTCAAAACCAATGGCACCATTTTGGGGTAGGTGCACCACCCATTTTAGAACCTATTTTGGTGGGGATTGGGATGTTCACTGGGGGTACGATATGGATTTCGACCCATGGCCATGTGGGTAATGGCGACCGAAAAGGGACGTTGAAAGCGCCCAATCCAAGGCGGAAGAGTCTTGCACCTTGCTTCCCATTGTTTCACCCGTGTCCAACACGTCTAAAGATTTCGTCTCCAAATGCGCAACCTCCTCGAATACGGGGCTTTCGTCCGGTTTGCCTTCAAACTCCACCCCAAAAAACCGGGTTTCCCCTTCAAAGACCCAAGGAAAAGGAGCACACACACCCTCCAAATGGCCACGTTCTTCGAACATGTCCTTTGGTTTCCTGTGAACCACGGGTCCCAACCCCCCCAAAGCCCCCCCCGAAAGGAGTTAGTTAGAGGTGGCCTCTCCCGTCCGCATTTTGCCATCCGGTCCTAGGGTCCCCCCCACACTTTTGGGCACATTCTGAATACGCCCACTAAAACAGCCCATTTTCAACATTCAAATTCAATCACCCAACCAATCCAACTCCAAAAAACACATATTCACACACCCATCTTCATTTCTTAGCCCATCTCAACATCACCCTTACACTCATTCAATAACAACAATCATAACTACATACCACCTCAACAAATCCCACCAAAAAAATCCAAGCTACATACCAACATTTTTTCATTCCCAAGATCGCAACCCCAAGATCTCAATAATTTCTCCCTTGATCCAACTTGACACCCTTTCCCATTTAACAAATACGAACAGTCTAAAAAACAACCCTATGTTTGCCCCGAAAAGTGGTTAACCAATGGAAAAAGGAATATTCTAAGGGCTAACTCAAATCTTGAAAATAATCTGTGTAACATGGGATGGCAAAATGCGGATTGAACAAGGCTTCAGTAGACACACCGCCCTAGAAACTGCCGAAACTACCATGAAACAGCAAAAAATGCCGTTGGAACTGCAACAGACGCTGTTGGAACTGCAAAATCTGCCGTTGCAACTGCAAAATCCGCCGTTGGAATTGCAAACATATTGCAAATCCGGTTTTTCCAACACCGCCTCTCCCCACCCCACCATTTTTCACCGCATTTCAGTCGCTTGAACGAGTCAAGATCATACCTTCCATGAACTCACATACTGCTCAACGTTGACCTTGCATTTCTCCGAATCACCCCATGTGCCGACAACCTTCTGCCTCGACGCATATCCTTCTGCAATGTCACCTTCAGGAGCGACTACAACCCACTTGATGCTCTTGACTCCATTCAGTTGGAAATAGTTGTTGAACTGCTTGTAAGAAGCATCAATCTTGCAGTCGTGACTTTTTGCCTTCGTGACCTGCAGTAGCCAAAGCGTGATGTTCTTGCCCTCATTGGTAACAAAGAAAAAATCAGCGGCTGGAAATGTCTCAGATTCAGGACAATACAAGCAATTCTCATCAAATTCTGGCAAAGGCTTTGGTGGTGGCTGGTCACCCAACTTCTTGAGCATCTTCTGAAGGGTCGGGATGCAAATTTTGACTGCAGCTGACTCTGTCTTGTCCTTATTCGTCTTCAATGCAGTGCAAACAAGCTCCACCTTCTTGGATTTGCAAACCTCGGCGACATGCATCTGAAATAGCCGACCGCACAGTGTGCCCAAAGGGGTGATATTCAAACTTGCCCTGATAAGGACAGGAAGAGCTTTCCGTTGCTTCTCTGCCAGTTGGTCACACAAAATGTTGAGAACAACCTCGGACTCAATCAACTTCACATTGGGCGTCTGAAACTTGGCATCCGAATGGATGTGTAGCACCCGACTCATCTTGCTCCTGTTGTTCTGTGCATCCATGTCTGCACCGCCACTGTCGGCAGCCTGACACAAGTCTTCAAACGTGCACTTGACGACGCAGTCGCGAATCATCTGCTTTGCTTCCTCTTCCAGAGTGGTCTTATTCTCGGCTACTGCCACCAGCAATTTGTGCAAGTATCGCACACTCCCTCCAATCATGGAATATGCCTTCTTCACGTCTGCTTCTTCCTTGCAAATCTGCAGTATGCCCCCAGCTTTCCAATGGTTCAGCACCTCCTCTTCTGACCAAACTGGCATGAAATAGCGCTTTGAACGACCTTCAGCCTGCTTCCAAAGACTGTCGTAGTTCTTCTGCTGTGGCGAGGTGAAAATAATAGTGCAACCACGCATGCGAGGGTCAACAGGCTGGGAGTTCTCACCGCCAACTGGGTCTGCCAATAGAACAGTTTTGGAGTGGTCAAGGAGTTTGACCGGCCATGTGTCATTGTGCGTGATGGTCTGCCCTGAAATGCGCGACCACCACCTTTTGCCCAGCTGGATGACGATGTTGATGCCCTCTTCGGCCAAGCGACTAGCTACAAAAGCCAGAAAAACGGATTTCCCAATGCCAGGAGTGCCTGTAATGACAAAAACCCCTTTGATTCCGGGCTTGGCGAATTCTTGCTTCAACCAATTCGTGATAAGTTCATACAACTGTGTGTAGCAAGTACGCACCACCAGTTTTTTGCCAACATCTGGCATGCCCAAAACATTGCAACTTGCAAACTCCTGCACAGTATCAGCTTTCCAATTGCTGGGCTTCAGTGTCTTGGACACAGCTTCATCCAGCCAGAGGCAAAGCTCATCTTGATATCCAGGGTCCTGAGCAGTGCAGTGAAAGCAAACCAACAAAACAAGTAACTAGCAATCACCCCAAACACAAGCAAATAAACCACTCAAACAAACATACCTAAGAACCAGAGAGGAACGAAACAACCAAACCTAGAAAAGGGAATGGCGCAACATATTGATTATGTTTAAGCCAAGGGGCGGGCGCTGATGGTGGCTGGAGGTCTTGAATCCGATGGTGCAGTCTTACGGCCACGATGCGTCGCACATTCAAATCACCTTCGTGTAAATAGAAGGACAATGTCTCTGCTGAAGCTTTGCGCAGGTCATCCTCCGGAAGTTGTTGAATGAGCGAGCCGACACTGCTTTTGGAAGCCTCATCCATGGCGACGTCATTGAGCTGCGCCACAGTCCAGTCATGGTCAAGCTTCCGCTTCTTTGGCGGTGCTGTTTCTACCATTGCGCAAAACTGAGAGCAACTTAAACCTAAACAAACATGACACTTTCAATGACTGATGCTCATCGTGCTTTGGTCGCAAATCGCCCGATCATGCTACCTCAAGCTTGAACCAACCGTTGGCGGAATCAGTTTTGCCACCGCCATTACAACATGTTGTCTCAGCAAATGTTGTTTATGAAATATCGTGACAGAAACCGTGCCATGTCGTCATAGATTCAGTGACGTGCCGTCATAGAAACAGTGACACATTGTCATAGAAACAGTGACGTGTCGTCATAGAAACAGTGACGTGTCGTCATAGAAACGGTGACACGTTGTCAGACAAACAGTGACACGTTGTCATAGAAACGGTGTCCCAGAAACAGTGACATATCGTCTCAACCCTTGTCGTTGGTGACTGATTGTCGTAGTCGCTGTTCAAACCCTCAAAATCTCTGACCTCAAATAGGGGCGGTTCATCCCTTCAACAGAATAATAATCTTGACCAAGTTTTTTTCAACCCTTGAAACCTTGTATTTGACACTGCTCCAGTTGCTCGTTCTTTCTTTCTCGGAAATCCCTTTTTTGCGGTATATTTTGACCTCATCGCCAACCCTAACAGGGGGATATTTACGGGTTTTGATTCTGTTCATCTCAAGCTTCATCTTGACCTCAAGATGGTTTCCCTTTTTGTGGGCATCGTTTGGAGTCATATCGTGGGCAGAATGAACCATTTTACTGTTGTATGTCAGCATGATCTCGGGGATATAATCAACCCATTGTATATTAACCTTTCCCTTTTTCTCGTCTGCATCAACCCTCTTGAAAAGCATGTCCTTGAACGTGCGAATGAAACGCTCGGCGAAATGGGGGTGCCCTCGTGTTTTATAGTTTTGGATCCCTTCGTCCTTGAAAAAATCAACAAGATCTTGGGTATTGAGACTCCCCTCGTCATCCGAATAAATTAATTTGGGTTTCCCTCCCATTTTGTTTAATGCCTCCATGATCCCAGCCGTGATGTCGGCAGGTTGCTTGGATGCAATAGGCACCACCACGGCTTTGCGGGAAAATACATCAATAAGCAATAAGCCTATCCTATATTTTTGATTATCTAAATCATTTTTTGATATAAAAAACAGATCCAATTGATATTCAAAGTTGATATCAGGGGCAATAAACGAATTGTATCCAGACAGTTGTTTTTTCCGTTCCACGTTCTCTTGAAACCACTCCTTGACATCTTGCATTGTTATGGATGCATCTTTCTTTTTTGCATCTTTGTAAGTGGTGGCGATGCTACCAAACCCAGCCTGATCGTAGTAGACCTCACTGATTATCTTGTCTTTTTCACTCATATATATAAATAATACTATAAAATAAATATCAATATGTTATTTTATCACTGAAGCATCTATTACAAGAAGCACAGAAGGCAATGACATTATCCTTTGTATGGGGAAGATCATTACATAACCTTTGACAAGTCAGATTAGAATTTATATTACCAGAATCCATTGACAACACGAAACCACAGCCACAATTTGCACACTTTCCGTTGACATTGTCCTTCAACCATTCGGCATCCACATAATTGTCTTTTGGGATCTCAAATTTGTTTTTCCTATCCTGTTCCTTGTATGCTAACACCTTTCTATCAAAATAATTCATAATGCATTTTGCGTTAAACTCTTCATTTAAATCACTACTGTATTTGTAAAATTTTACTCTGTTTAAATCCCTTGCCCGAGTGATCCCGTCCAAAGCCACTCGCGAGTTATCAGATGATGGTTCCAATCAAAAATGGTGACATCGTCATCAATGGAACACCCCTGAACAGAATGACAAGTATAACAGAAG